CATGGATCCATGGGCACTACAGGTACTTGAGTCAGGATTAGTCATTCAGTTCACATCTTCACCACCATTATCCACCTAACCTGTAGTGTCTCTGCTTCACGTAGATCCTCAGATTTTGGAAATTCATTCTAGGGCTATCAAAGTTTGGTCAAGGGCAGGAAGAGAGTTGTGCCAGTTTTTCTATGGTTTTCTTCCTATCTGTTTGTTGGGCCTAAGAAGACAGGAGATTGGCATCCAGTCATTGATCTTTCTCATTTATATCAGTTTCCTATATCCTTCAAATTTCACAAGTGTCATTTCTCACTCTGAGTTGACATTTTATACTCGGATTGTGGATGTCCAAGTTAGATTTTGCCAACTCCTATCTGTACATTTCCATAGTGGTGGCTACCCACCACTATATGCATTTTGTGCACAAGTGTCAGATGCTGCAGACTAGCATCGGCATCATATGTGTTCTGCTGAATCGTACACCTTTTTACTCATCATCTCCTTGCCTTAAGCCTGCACACACACTATTTCCTAGACAACTGGTTATTGCTGGTGCCATCTCGTTAATTGGCAAAATATCACACCCAGATTTTACTTTCAGAAACAACCAAGGCAGGCTTCATTATCAGAGTTGTGTCATCTGTTCTTGCTCTAATACAACATATCGTCATTCTGGGTAGCTAGAAGTGTAATCTTGTCCTGTCCTGATGGAACGCATCTATTGCCAAATCCCGAGGGTGAGGTACCAGAGACCAAATTGCTAGTAGTTTGTTGTTCCAATGAGTAGGCAACATGCCAATCATCAATGTTTCAAGATGAAAGTCAATCCAACAGAAAAACCTCACGATGGAGTATCCCAAACGATTGTTTCAGTTACCTACCTGGTATATTAAGGTGGCATTACATGCCTTTCTCAACACTTGTTTGAGACCTTAGCCTCATATACCATGTATCACCTTTCCCTGAAGATTTAATTTTCATTGCTGTTGACCTACAAACATCACAGGTCAGAGTGGTTAATGCTAAATGTGCACAGGATGTTTTATCATTCTACCTACATCCTCAGACTGGTTCTTCTTCCCTGAGATATGTCAGACAGGGAAGGGGATAAATCCTTTTCACTGTTTCATCTGATTACTATTTCTTTCTTTCTTCTATGACTGACCAAATCTCGATTGTTTGTTATGACTAGTGAGGGTTTTGAAGTGTTATGTGGTCCGCACTAATGCCTTTAGAGATGCTTGACAATGACTTTTTATTAATTGGGATCATTTAGTTTCCCAGGAATTATCCCAAGTTACATTGATGAGTTGGGTATTCTGGGCTCTCTTTGAAGGCGAGAGGACTTCTGATAGTCACATCTCATCAGGTTTGTCACATTTCTTTGTTCTTAGTGGCTCAGTTGAAGTGGCTGCTGGAGGACATTGTATGGGCTGGTATGTGGACCTCCAACAATACTTTTATCTCACATGATCTGGTAGTATCATCAACTGGGGGTTTTCAACTAACACCTGAAGCTATCTTAACCACATCCACTAGATCATACAGAGGGGTGAGTACTTTCATTGCTATCTTTCAGGGTCCCTTTCGTCGTTTTCACAGGATCCCACTCTGTGGTGAGTGTTGCCCAGGCAAGTGTGCTTTTATCAAACCAATTCTGCACTAGCAACCACTAATTCAATATACTTTATCTAGGTTGCAATAGGCTCTGTAGAAATGAAGTGTTCCTGTGACCATCTATAAGCTGATCAGCAATGTTCTCCCTAGGCTGCACAACAACCAATCAGGTGCCATGCACTTCATTACTCCATCCAAGAACATCCTCAATAATGGTGAGGATTCTCAACACGTTGATGGCTATAATAACTCTGGCATTCGATAGGCCTAAATCCCAAATAACCAACTGGTAGCATTGTAAAGCAGCCTAATGATACAATAGGTTCGACGGTTAACCCCCCCCCCCACCACCTCTAATAAAAAAGTGGTAGCTCATGTCTGCACATTGCTTTATACTGGTGCTTATGAAAAATTCATTCTGCAGATTGATTGATAACATTAGAGGGAACATTGATATTACTGTACTATGCTGGACTGCCATTCATGGACTATCATGAGTAAAGCATAAGGGGATCCTGCCCATCTCTGCATACCTGTTCTGGATGTAGTGCGGTTCCCCCACTAGGGGTTCCAATCTTCTGTTGGCATGCCCATGATCTATGCAGATGCTTTCCATATGGATAATGTCCTCACCAGCCCCTCCACCTTCTCAGTGTGGGATTCTAGCTGTTGTGTGAGAAGAGGTAAGTATGTTTTGGAAGTTAACATTTTCTTAAATCAAAAATGTATTTCCTATAATAATTACCTCTGTTCACGCTCTCCTGCCGTTCCTCCCCATTAACAGCTGTTGGAGACTGTGGAATGGGTCAGTCTCAAAAAAGTGATAACATTATCTGAATGAGGTGCTTATATACACTACCAGGGTAAAGGACACTTTGACGTAGATAAAGAGTGTCACATGACAAATGATGCTAAGGGCAATTAAGTGGGGAATAAAAAATTGGAGCAAGAAAGAAAAATTCAGACCAGTGTTTAGATGGGCAAAGGAAGGAAACCCTGGCAGTCGAGTAATAGCTGTAGTGTGAGAGGAGGTAAGTATTATTGGAAATACATCTTTGATTTAAGAAATTATTAACTTTCTTTTAACATTTTCACACTAGATCTCTAGCTTAAATTGATTTCTTTGTACTAACTGTCATATTGAGAAGAATCCACCCATAATTAATGTTTGAATGCAAACAATATAATTACAAAGAATTCCTTCTTATTTTCTAGTATACTGAGAAGAATCCTGCCCTAATTAACATTTTCAAATATACACAGTGCAATTTCAGAGAATTTCTTCTTATAAACTAGTACATTGAAAAGAATTCTGCTGTAATTAATGTTTCAAAGTTTCAGTGTAACATGGAATGTTATGCTAGGTTATTTTTATGTAATATATATCAAATGGCAGAAAATTTCCAAACTTCATTAGAAATAATGATTTTTCTTGTTTTAGAACTTGAAAAAGTCATGGCATCCATCAACACTTAGGAATATTGAAAGAGTTTGGAAAGCTGAACAACAGCATGAAGCAGAACAAAAGAAAATTGAACAGCTTCAGAAAGAGCTGGAAGAAGAACGAGCTAAAGAGGAGATCCAACAATTTGCAGAGGACACAGGAGTTATAAAGTAAGTCTCTTCTCATAGAAAAAGTGATTTTAAAAAAGTTTTGCATATTTTGTTACATTTTTACTTGTTATTAATTCACTAAGGAAGAAATAAGGTAAATTTTTATAATTGCATGAAATAGACTTGGCTTTATTTTCACCTATTAATTCATTAAGGAAGAAATAAGGTAAATTTTTATCATTGCATGAAATAGACTTGGCTTTATTTTCACCTATTAATTCATTAAGAAAGAAATAAGGTAAATTTTTATCATAGCATGAATTAGACTTCACTTTATTTTCACCTATTAATTCATTAAGGATGAAATAGGTAAATTTTTATCATTGCATGAAATAGACTTCACTTTATTTTCACCTATTAATTCATTAAGGAAGAAATAAGGTAAATTTTTATCATTGCATGAATTAGACTTCGCTTTATTTTCACCTATTAATTCAAAGAAACTGGCCCAATGAAATAAAAACATTACAGCTTTGGTGCCGGAATATTTTGCTGAAAATAAAATTGAAATGTGAATATACTTCAAATTGTACTTCAGCTGTTCAAGATGATCACATGACACTGAAGTGCTACTGGAGGTGGTTAAGTATTTAAAAGAAGTCCAAGAAGAAAGTGGTAGAAAATTAGAACCATGAAGAAAAGGGTAGAAAATTAGAACCATGAAGAAAAGGGTAGAAAATTAGAACCATGAAGAAAAGGGTAGAAAACTAGAAGCAAGGAGAAAGGACTCGGAAATTTGAAGCAAGAAGAAAGGACTAGGAAATTAGAAGTAAGAAGAAAGGACTAGGAAATTAGAAGCAAGAAGAAAGGACTAGGAAATTAGAAGTAAGAAGAAAGGACTAGGAAATTAGAAGTAAGAAGAAAGGACTAGGAAATTAGAAGTAAAAAGAAAGGACTAGGAAATTAGAAGTAAGAAGAAAGGACTAGGAAATTAGAAGCAAGAAGAAAGGACTAGGAAATTAGAAGCAAGGACTAGGAAATTAGAAGATCATGACAGTAATTTAATGTTAAATTTAAATAATGATTATAATAGATCTGTTTATGGACAAGAATTACTTTGTAGTAGATGGAGTTTGATGTTATAGGTTAGCTTATTTGCTCTACACTCATTACCACTGCTGCTGTGGCTTTAGGACCTTCCTGGACTACTCCAACCATGTCACTACAAAGTTAAGTTCCAGAACTTAGCTGGCCTCTTCAACAACATCACTCAATCGAGAAATAGAAAAAATGTAATGGAAAAGTACTATGTTAGGCATCATAGACTCAGTTCCAAATAATTTCCAAATTCTCAACTTAACAGGTGAAACCTTCTTTTTTTGTAAAGGTTGCTTTATTATTTTATACATCATTTATATTGTGTTTTTATGGAACAAGATCAAGTTGAGAATTGTTAGGCTTAAATCATTTTGCATTTGACCTTCTGAAGATTTGTTTCACCAGCAAAGTTATTAGGTCACACTGGCCTACTTAACTGCTTGAATGAGCAAAAAAAATCGCTGAAAGTGTATTTAATGAACCTCTGCAAAGGTAAGTATTTTCTCAGTGAGAAAGAACAGATCAGGGAATGTTGGTAAAACCCCTCAATTCCAGAAATTATGTCTATTTTAACCCTCAAATCATACTATGCACAAGAAAGAAAGGTTCTAATTAGTTGGTCCAATTATTTACCTATATAATTTTATGTACTGTGTTTTAGTTGTTATAATATTTGATGCTGAAATAATTGTACTTGAAGAAAAAAACAGGATCGATTGGATTGGATGTACCAAGGTCCAGCTGCTCTTGTTAATCGGGAGGATTATCTAATGGGTCGACACGTTGACAAAACATTTGAGATCTTGCAACAAGCTGAAGAGGAGAAAGAAGCAGAAAACAGAAATGGTGAGAAACCTAAATTACTTTGTCAATGTTTTATTTTTATACTTGTTAGCATAACATTCAAACTTTATTTAATATTTAAAAAAAATTAAAGTTGCTGTTGGTGAAAAGGAAGTTAACACAGGAGAGTTTAGAAAACTGCTATGTTCATGAGAAAAGGATGGAAAACTGCAAAGGAACTAACAAGAAAGTATTTTGTTTTACACTTGTGTTCACAGAATTTTGAAGATATGTACTAAACAAGAATACTTAAAATATGAGTTATTAGTAATGAAAGTTGTAGCAGCTGAAAGAGGATTTAACCCGAATATTGTAGATAGAGCTGTCAAAAATTTCAATAATGTGGTAAAGACTGATTGAAATATTACTCTAAAACCCAGTTATGAAAAAAATTAAAAAGGAAGCTTTAATTTTGCCATATATTCCAAGCGTTTATAAAACAACAAATATTTTATCCTATTTTTAAACCGATTATTAAAATAAAGCAATTTTTAGATAATACTAAAGATAACATATGGTTAATGGAAAAACAGGAACTTAAAAATTGAATGTAAATGTGGAAATATTCATATTGGACAGACTAAATATAATTTATAATATCATTTAATAGAGCACACATGATATGTAAGAAATAAAAAAAAATTAAAACTCAGCCATAGCAGAACATATACATGAAACACAACATACGGTATTGTGGGAAAAAAATGTAATATTAGCTCAACCAAAAGGTATTATAGCCAGTAATATCTGAGAATCCTTGGAAATAATTAAATATAAAAAAAGTCATGTGTTATGAAATAGAGATATAGGTCTGGTGATTATTTATGCAAATATGTGGAGTGACCTTCTAAAACATTCACACGGGAATTGTAAACCTGTACATACATCACATAACCTATTTATGTCTTGTAACTCACTCCGAAGATGATGTTGCAATGTTGAAACATGTAGAGTTAACTTTTCAGTGGTCATGTATTGACCTTAATTAAAATGTTTTTACTTGTGTACCTATTTTATTGTTGTGTGTGTTATTTATTATTCAATTTATCTGTAGTTTGCAGGGGAAACTTGTAACTACATTGTCAGCCCTAACATTCAATTTGTTTTTGCTGATGGCAAGTGTTTCTGGCATTTCTGGCAAGTGTCTTCATTTTATGGATGCTTGATTTGTGTAACACGTGACATTTTCTATTGTTTATGAAGTTCGGTCTTTTGCTGAGTCTGGGTTTGTGAACTTCATTGCTGGTCCTGATTTACACTTTTGGTGGTTTCATTTACTGTAGACCAGGTCAATGCTGGATACACCAGTTTTGTGAAATAATTAAAATCAAAACATTGTTACATGTAATTAAAAGTAGTTTGATAGTTGAAAATATTATCATAACACAAGATTTATACATATAAATATGTTAATACATGATATAATTACATTACAATCACAGTAAGTTTTGCAGAAGAAACATGTTACTTGTATCAGTTCCAGATTTGTTAGTGGGGAAAAAAACAAAATAGTAAGACTTGTTAGTGGGAATAAAAAAAATAGTAAGATTTGTTAGTGGAAAAAAACCAAAATAGTAAGATTTGTTAGTGGGAAAAAACAAAATAGTAAGATTTGTTAGTGGGATAAAAACAAAATAGCAAAATTTGTTAGTGGGAAAAACAAAATAGTAAGATTTGTTAGTGGGAAAAAAACAAAATAGTAAGATTTGTTAGTGGGAAAAAACAAAATAGTAAGATTTGTTAGTGGGAAAAAACAAAATAGTAAGATTTGTTAGTGGGATAAAAACAAAATAGTAAGATTTGTTAATGGGAAAAAACAAAGTAGTAAGATTTGTTAGTGGGAAAATGAAGTAGTAAGATTTGTTAGTGGGAGAAAAACAAAATAGGAAAATTCCTAGTAGGAAAAAAACAAAATAGTAAGATTTGTTAGTGGAAAAAACAAAATAGTAATATTTATTAGTGAGGAAAAAAAGAAAATACTAAGATTTGTTAGTGGGAAAAAACAAAATAGTAGGATTTGTTAATGGGAAAAAAACAAAATAGTAAGATTTGTTAATGGGAAAAAACAAAGTAGTAAGATTTGTTAGTGGGAAAATGAAGTAGTAAGATTTGTTAGTGGGAAAATGAAGTAGTAAGATTTGTTAGTGGGAAAAACAAAGTTGTAAGATTTGTTAGTGGGAAAAAACAAAGTAGTAAGATTTGCTAGTGGGAAAAAAGAAACAAAATAGTAAGATTTGTTAGTGGAAAAAAACAGTAGTAAGATTTGTTAGTGGGAAAAACAAAGTAGTAAGATTTGTTAGTGGGAAAACCAAAATAGTAAGATTTGCTAGTGGGAAAAAAGAAACAAAATAGTTAGATTTCTTAGTGGGAAAAAACAAAATAGGAAAATTGCTAGTAGGAAAAAAACAAAATAGTAAGATTTGTTAGTGGGAAAAATAAAATAGTAAGATTTGCTAGTGGGAAAAAACAAAGTAGTAAGATTTGCTAGTGGGAAAAAACAAAGTAGTAAGATTTGTTAGTGGGAAAAACAAAATAGTAAGATTTGTTAGTGGGAAAAACAAAAATAGTAAGATTTGCTAGTGGTAAAAAACAATATAGTAAGATTTATTAGTGGGAAAAAACAAAATAGTAAGATTTGTTAGTAGGGAAAAAACAAAATAGTTAGAATTGTTAGTGGGAAAAACAAAATAGTAAGATTTGCTAGTGGGAAAAAACAAAGTAGTAAGATTTGCTAGTGGGAAAAAAACAAAGTAGTAAGATTTGTTAGTGGGAAAAAACAAAGTAGTAAGATTTGTTAGTGGGAAAAAACAAAAATAGTAAGATTTGTTAGTGGGAAAAAACAGTAGTAAGATTTGTTAATGGGAAAAAAACAAAGTAGTAAGATTTGTTAGTGGGAAAAAAACAAAATAGTAAGATTTGTTAGTGGGAAAAACAAAATAGTAAGATTTGTTAGTGGGAAAAAACAGTAGTA